AAAGGGTCATATGAGTCCTTAAGAGTCGATATATACTCCTTATGCGTAGTATTGGGGCTACAATGTAGAAGCAAACTGTGCTTTGGCTCATTCACTCTCCGCACAAAACTTCCTGCAGTTGCGGGTATTTTATAGGAACTCCAAAAGCAACTTGACATGAAGTTATAATGAAATACGCGTGCTAATAAAAATTAGGAAGATTTACAGACATACCATTCAATTCCTATGTATTTATATATTTAGCTCTTAAATTTTAGTTTCTACATATAAATCACCTTACCTATGCTTGAAAACTGTATTTCACTTTTTAAAAGTTAAAATGGTGCGAAATAGTTAGGATAAGGTTAAGATGATAAATTATTCTTCAAATGCTTTGTGGTAACTTCACTTTCTCATTATCTTTGAGAAATTGGACATTCTATAGTTTTCTTTGTTGCCTCCGTGGCATGGATGTAAATGTCCCTAAAAGTTAACACAATGCAGTACTCAATTGTATGACTAGAAAATAATTATTAATAAATCGAACACGAAATAGTTAGGATAAGGTTAAGATGATAAATTATTCTTCAAATGCTTTGTGGTAACTTCACTTTCTCATTATCTTTGAGAAATTGGACATTCTATAGTTTTCTTTGTTGCCTCCAATCAGCATCATTTGCACATTAGAATCTACGAGACCACCTCTAGAAAGCCATCTATAACACTTGATTTGATACTTCATGTCATGAATTGGCCCGGGATTTTGGAATTGCCAAGGTAGGAATGGAATTGAATTAATTTTTTTTGTTAGTGACTTCTTCGATTATTATTTTGGATGATTAATTATTCGTGATAAAAAATGAAACTAAAATTGAGTTTCCCTGTCCGATCGTCTTTTCCCATCATAAAAATTCCTCAACAATTTAAATGTCAATAGAAAACTTCATCTCTCCCTCTATTTTGTACTATATTTTGATTGATGGTGGTTAAACGGGTCTATTGAGACAAGTTGGGCAATCTGCTGAAAATGGCATGGAGTTTACTATCCTCAAATTATGCATAATCTTGCTTTTCGCTGGTTTCCTCTGGGGATTCTGCAAATAATTTGTAGTCCTCAAATTACTACTTCACATATCACCCCCTGCTTCTACATTTGTTTTCGAAAACTCAATGGCATTTTGTTACTTCACCGGTTCCAATCTCGTTAAGATCTTAGATCGATATATGAATTATTAATGTTCTAAAATAGTATGAAGCTGGGGCAATTCCATTTCAGTATATGACCTCCCCTCTCGCCTCAATACGAGCTTTCAGGCTTAAGGCATTACGGCTCTCATTTTATTAGTAAGGAAAAAAAAAAAAAAACTCGTACCGCACTACCAGTCCCCCATTCCCATCTCATTTTTCCTGGTTCCAACCCAAATTACTGAAACCCTCTATGATAAAGAAGCGAGGAAGGCGTGTCAGGAGCTTGCGTGAGATAGCCTCAATGCGATCAACAACATATGGGGGAGCTGCATAGGAAGTTGTGGGAAGATGGCATTGGCGGTGCCATTAGCCGTGAAGGAGATGAGGAATTCTAAGACTTTTGGATTTTAGTTAAATCTTGCTCAAAACTTGCTACTTGTCCCCTCCTTCCTCTCCCTCTCCCCCTCTAACTTCTATCTCACCCTCTTTGTTCTCTCTCTTTCTATTCGACCCCATTCCCTCTTCCCCATCTCCCTCTCTTTCTCTCTCCAGCACTCTCTCTCTCTCTCTCTAACTTACAATGGCATCGTACAGTCATCTCACACCTAAAGTTTCATATTTACATATATAACACTTTGGTGCTTTAATCTTATGCATGAAAAGGTGGATTTCACTATGAAAAAAGGATAATACTGTCATTTTTTATGTGAATTTAAAGATTTAAGTGCTATTTGTGTAAATTTGAAGGTTTAGATGTGAGATATGTAAATACATAAGAATTGTGTGCTATGTATGCAAAGGCCTCTAAGAATTATTAATAAAATTTATTATAAGTTTGCTAATTGTTTATCAGCGTAATCTCAATCCTTAATCTTCCTTATATAGTACCGAATTTAAAATGACAGCTAACTCTCTTTTCATGCAGGTTGATGTTAAAAATATTAGGAAGCCATCTCTTTTACTTCAGTGGATGGGCATGAACGCGCTTTTTGTGTATGTATTGGCAGCAGGAGAACTCTTTCCGGCTGCTCTACAAGGATTTTATTGGAGAACACCATCAAATAACTTGGTAGTAATCATCATCTTATATTTTGTAGGAAGATTTACATACATATGCATATACATATCTAACTCCTAAACTTCAATTTCTATGTACATGCCGCCTTACCCATGCATTAAAGTTGTATTTCAATTTTTAAAAGTTAAAATTTCGGTATTTTTAATGTGATATGAAACATTTATAAATGTAAAAAATAAAGTTTAAATATGTAAATGTATAGGAATTGGGTGGCATGTATCTAAATGCCCCTATTTTGTATGCATACTTGATGAGATTTGTATCTAATGTAGGGTTCTATTTGTAAATAGAAGAAGCCTAGGGACTTATTTGTCAATATTGTAAGACTCTATATAAGGTGATGTGGTAATGAAATGAGTAAGGTTTTTCACAAAATAATTCAATTTGTTATGAGTGCTAAAAACCTAGCCAGGATTTGTGTACGCATGCAGAGACGCAAAGCTACCTGGGGCGGCGACAACAGCATGGAAGTACAGTTGTGATCGGAGTTGAGCAAGGAGGATGCGGCAGGATCATTGTGCTACAGTTGCCTAACTGTGAATACATCAAGGAGATCTTCTTGCGAGGAGTAGAAGACAAAGACGCGGGCGTTATTGGAGTTTTTTTTTGCTGCGAAACTATAGAAGCGGACCCTTGGAGTTCTCTTCTACAAAACTAGACAAGCGAACATTGGTTTCGTAGTGTTTTGCGGTTGATTTGCGCTCTAGGCAGGAAGTAACAGGCGAGGCAAAGTTTTTCTTGGTTCGAAGGAATGACATGATAATTTCCTGTGAGGATGGTGCATGAGGTATAGAATTGGAACTTCTGGGTAAGATAGATCTTGAAGTTCCAAAGCCCAAAAGTTCCAAAGGTCTTTGTCAGGCTCATACAAGGAGCTAGCGTCTCGACTAGAGCCATTATCTCAGCACATGCTCCGATGCAAATGAAGCTTGATCTCCCTCCTGTGGATCTGAAGCTTGATGGACTGGCCACGAACCTTAGTTGGTTGTGTTGAATTGAGGCTGCTCTAGCTGGGAAGAGATTAGAATGATACCTGATGGGGATCGATCCAAATAGTGATAGTACTAAGATGGATGAGTGGAGGACCACACATGCTTTGCTTTACACCTGATTACTCAACTCGATCGTTCCATTGATTGCCTCATCAGTGAATTGTATTTGAAAGGTGAGCGACATTGGGCCAAGCTGAGAATCGTGAGAGTGCTTCAGATTTAGCGTGAGATAGAGACAGTGGTTCAGGGTGACAGATCAATTAAAGAGTGGTTTATGGACTTGTAGCAGTTGTGGTAGGATCTTGATCACTTCTCACCTATGTCAAGTTATGGTGATCCGAAACGCAAGAAGGGTGGGATCTTTGCACAGATGAGGGCTATGCAGTTTCTTGATGATGTGGTTGAAAGCCTTGTTGGTTGAACTCAAAGTGGATCATAGAACTCAAATGAAGTTGTGGTGTGACAACAAGTCAGATATAATCATTGCTAACAACCCGGTGCAACACGATAGATTAAACATTTGGATATTGATAGATTCTTCATCAAGGAGAAGCTGAATAGCGGATTGTTAGTACTAAGTTATGTAGCTACTAGAGAGCAAGTGGCTGACTGCTTCATTAAAGGACTTAGCTCATTAGATTTGTTTAGGTTATGTGATAAGATGGGCTTAGTTTGTCTATCTTGAGGGCGAGTATTGAGATTTCCATCTAATGTAGGGTTTTATCTGTAAATAGATGAAGTTTATGAATTTATTTGTAAATATTGTAACTTTTAAGGCTCTATATAAGCTCGTCCTTAATGAAATGAAGGAGGTTTTCTTGAGCAATAATTTTTGTTTCTAAATGTACAATATATAAGAGAACTTTCTACACCAATTGAATTTGAACCTTGGCATGACCTTACTATAATTGAATATTCTTTGTTTACTCCACAATTTTATTCCTCGAATATTATGGCTTTCAATGCTTGACTATGTATATCCTTATTAAACTCAATATACTCAAGTCTCAACACCACATACTCTTCACACTGTCTATTAAATTTATTCTAATTGTACTTGATTATTTGCCATATCATAACAATTTAAATTACATGAAAATTCATATTTTTTGACTATTTAACAATAATGTTTTTAAAAAGAAGCCTTTATTTTTAGTTTATCCAAAAAAAAAAAAAAAAATGCTTCAAAGTTGATCTAATTCTCCTCAACCTTTTATACATCAACATGTCCAATAATAACTTTGTTCTATTACTTAAAATGGTCCGTAAGGAGTGTACGAGAACAATTTGTGATACTAAAAATTTGCTTTTAGTGATTTTTATAATAGGCTAGATACTAAAAATGGTGAAAATATATGTATGAACTAGCCAAACAAAGAGAAATGAAAAGTAAAGATTTAATTCAAGTAAAGTGTATTAAAGATGAAATTTTAAAAGTGCTTTTCGTAGAAAAAGATACTCAACATAGGTGGGTGAGTTATTTTGATAAACTTTTAGTGAAGTTTCTGAAAATACGATCGAACTTAATGATCTTAATATCGTTAATAATAATAAAAAGTTTTATTTTTACCGTCGCATTAGTAAAAAAAAAGTTGATGAGACTTTAAATAGAACCAATGGTGGAAAGTCTGTAGAACCTGATGATATCCCAATTGAAGTGTGGAAATATGTATGAGATTTGGGAGTTTCTTGGCTTTCTAAACTTTTTAATATTATTTTAAAATCTAAAAAGATGTTCGAGGAGTGGAGAAGAGTATTTTGGTCCCCATTTTTAAGAATAAATGGGAGGAATTAAGTTGATGTGTCATACTTTAAAATTATGCGAGAGGGTAATTGAACATAGATTAAGACATATGACAAAGTTTTCTCATAATCAATTTGGATTTATGTCGGGCAGGTCTACTATGGAAGCTATACATTCATTGAGAGGGTT